CTCGTGACGCCATGTTGGAAAGCCAATCTGCTAATGACCTTTTCCCCTTTAGCAGCGATCGATAAGTTTTCAATCCGGCAGGATGGATAGTCTGTACCCACTGGGGAGTCCCGACACGACAGTTCCCGCACGGGGCATTATTCAGCCGTAGCCTCCTGTGCAGGCCTCCGGGTGGGTGGGAGTTCTCATACTGGGTTTTATAGAATTGTCTAACGTGTTCGTCGGTGAAAGTTAGAGGTAATACGAGACGCAAAAAACTCAAGCAACTGGATATGATTTTAGAAACGGCTTCAGGTAGCGTCTAAAATTTTCGTCAGTGACACTGGAGAGTTGTCAGAAAAGCACCTTTATAAGTACGAAATATTGTTTGTATCAATCAATAGTGCCTGCTTATAAACCTGCTTGTCTGACAACTGTGTCCCTTTGCTAAGAAACCGGTGTTGCTAAGAGACCGCTGTTGCTAAGAGACCGCCGTTGCTAAGAGACCACCGTTGCTAAGACACCGCCGTTGCTAAGAGACCGGCGCCCCACCCTGAATCCCGTTGCTAAGAGACCGGCGTTGCTAAGAGACCGGCGTTGCTAAGGGACCGGCGTTGCTAAGAGACCGGCGCCCTACCCCGAATCCCCGTGTGTCCCGTTGCTAGGAGACCGCCGTTGCTAAGAGACCGGCGCCCCACCCCGACCCCTACCTGCCGATACAGTAATGCTATAATGGATGGGGGATGAGGTTGGGGGATTCTCGGGTCGCAAACCTTCCCAGTTTATTTTACGGATTAGCGACAGGTCCTTCGCGGAATGCTAATGTCGCCCTTGCTGCGGTCTTGGATTGCTACATTAGGCTGTTACATGGCATTGCTACATCAGTCCGGTTCTCCCGGGACTGTGGCTAATCCACGGTGCGACTGGAGAAATGTCTCGTGAAGAAGAAAGGCTGATTGTCATGACAAGGGCGGAAAAGGTATGATGTGTTTGAAATGCCAAAAATACTTTACTAAGCTGGCTATGATGGAACCTTTTTTTTAGTTCCGTCATAGCCAGAACAGGTTACATGAAACCCCCGGACCTGATAATCACCCGTCACGCTTCACTAACGCGACACTATATAGTGCGACTGTACCGCGACAGTACCGCGACACTAGTGCGACAGTAACACGACACTAGTGCGACAGTTACGCGACACTAGTGCGACACTAACGTGGCAGTACCGCGACAGTGACGCGACACTAACGAACAGTGACGCGACATTAACGCGACAATAACGTACAGTAACGCGACAGTGACGCGCAATCGGGAGAAATCACCCCGATTCGGCGGAAATTATTGAATAATTCATTTTCCAAGCGTTTTTCGGTTGCCTTTTCTATAGTAATGCCTCAGACGACCGGCGGGAATTACTATTGATGTCTGCGTTATGACGATAATCAAAAGGACCATCGGTATTCCATACGGCAGAACCGCGATGGGTGTAGGTTAATCAGCTAGAAAGTAGCGCAGGGAAGTGGTTAGTGTTAGTGTGAGCTCGATCAATCGGATGGGACACGGGGCTGGAAATGCGGAAAATTCCGATTTAACAAACTGTCACTACATATGTCTTATTAATTTCAATTATTTATTTTCTGTCATTTAAACGTGGTGGCCCGTTCAGTGATATCACTGCTTTTCAATGGGGCCCTGTATTACACAACAAAATACAACAGTCACATAAAGCAATAAAGATAGTATACAATAAATAATGATAATGGCAATGATGATAAAATATAAACAGTAACTAACAAATAACAGTAATAAATAATAATGAAAACAAAAAACGTACAAATTGTCGAGTCCAGTCTAACCACACATGTACTTTGTTCGCAGATTTGTTGTACGATTGAATCTAGTAATGCCCAGAAACGAGCGTCCGCCTTTTCCCTCCAAGTATTTTATGTTTCTGATCAATCGTAAGATTCTTTCGCCTGTCAAAACGCGTTCACCACTGTCTCAATTTCACCTGTCAAAAATGTAGCAATGCACTCTTTTGCTTGACCTTTCGGAAAGGCTATGCCCTTTCTAAGCTTCGCGATTGCTATAAGTTACTTATATATTATAGATACCATAGATATATATACAGATTGCTATAACTTATATATTATAGATATCATAGATATACATACAGATTGCTATAACTTATATATTATATATGTATGTATAGATACATATTATAGATATACATACAGAGAGAGGCCAGTAGACTTAGGCTGAATAAATATTCTAAAACCTTCAATTGAGTGAATGGTAAATGATTTAGTGTTTTAGAATTCTATACGATAACCCGATATATACATTTATAAGAAATACAAATAAGTGGAACCCACTGTACTATAAAAACTACAAAATCCCACGCAGATATTGTGTAACAAAAATCCAAAACGCCTATATACGTACGCGCGTTCTGTTTGTTGTAAAAAGGCCTTAATTGACGAAGACCTTTCAACACGCCATAGGTGAAACCATAGGTGCTATTTCAATCCCAACAGACCCCATAGGAATACTTCAATAGACCCCCTAGGAATACCCCAACAGACCCTCTAGGGATTATAATGACTGCCGCCTGGCTAGGAGTACCCCAACAGACCCTCTGGGGATTATAATGACTGGCCGGTTATTATAATGAGGTGAAACACCGGCATCGTGAAGGTCACAGCTTTATGGGCGAACTCCGGAGCGAGACCAGGATTTATTCACAACAAATGAACTGAAATCACGCGCCTCTGATCCCAGCATCTACAGTTTATTTCCGGTCTATCTGTGGCGACAATAGATCTAACGTTTATGTCGCTATATATAGCTCACTGATCACTTGGTGAATGTAGCGGACGAACATTATTGTTATGCGTTTCTCGTATCCGGTTGCCCTGTATATAATGGGCTATAAAAGCGCACATTTGCTATAAACCTACTCTTAATAATTACACAGCTTCATACATTTATACAATTACTAAGACGCGAGAGGAGGTCGAAAAGGCTACAATGCATTAGACGTTTATATATACACGTAACAGTTACATGTATGTGTATATGATTGTAATCATATGGCCTGTGCTTAGCCCGGTGGGACAAAATGTACAATAAAGGTCTTCTTCATTCATTATATATAAAGAAGCACGAACCTGAAGTACGGTTTATAGGTGTCAACATTATTATGAAGAACTTAATTGCACGTCAGTTGTACATGGTACAATGTATGGCAAGGACTATTGAACATAGTACAAAACGAAAAGGGTATTAAGTGAAAGAAAATTAACAGTCTAAATACTAAACATCAAGAGATAATACATTATACAACCAAGTAGGGCTAATCTTGAGTTTTCGGCATTTTTTCTAATAACAAAACAGGCTTTTATTATGTGAGATATTTACTACAAATAGGCCACTAACGTTGTTTCGGTTGTGTTAACGCCTGGCTACGCGCCAAACACGCACCTAGTCCCCCTGCCATGATATGAAAATCAACACCCTAAATATTAAACATCAAGAGATAATATAGTATACAACCAAGTAGGGCTAATAATGAGTTACGGCATTTTTCTCATAACAAAACAGCCTTTTATTATGTGTGATATTTACTACAAATTACCCACTAACGTTTTTTTCGGTTGTGTTAACGCCTGGCTACGCGCCAAACACGCACCTAGTCCCCCTGCCATGATATGAAAATCAACACCCTAAATACTAAACATCAAGAGATAATTTTGGCATTTTTCTAATAACAAAACAGTCTTTTATTATGAGTGATATTTACTACAAGCTACACAATGGTTGGGTTGTGTTAACGCCTGGCTGAGCGCCAAACACGCACCTAGTCCCCTGCCATGATATATGGGCACAATTGAATGCATCCCTCATAGGTCCGACCTACATATTATATAATGCACCCCGCCTACTAAGCAGAATACACGTTGGGTAAAATCTAATGTTTTATGTTTTCTTCTCTGCATAAATTGTACCGTTTGACCATACAGATGTTGAGGTTTGGGTAAAATTGAATTACGGGAACGCGACTGTATTGATGGGTTATATTTGTGTCCATAATGGCGTGTCAATGGCAATTATCACCTGGGTCAGCGCACGGAGTCAGTAGTGAGGTACAGAACGGGGTACAGAGGTAGGGAAGATGGCTGCGTACTCTACACGCAGAGGTTCATGCTTTGGCTGGTATTATTGGCGCGTTTTAAAGGGGCTTTCCTGTTGTACCGGTATCTCTTTCTTTCATCAGTGGATAAAAATTTTAACTGTATTGCCAATTCGCTACTCTGTTGCCGATATGATACTGTCTTGTCAATTAATCAATATGATACTCTCTAGCCAATATGATACTTTGTTGCCAATCCATACTGTCTTGCCAATTCGATACAGTCTTGACAATATGACAATATTTACTCGCTATAGTCTTATAGATATTTGCTAGTCTTGTTGCCCCACAAAGCTGTGCTCGGAGATGATGCTTCTCAGTTATATTTAATGTCTATGTATCTTGGTTTTACATGTTGTGTCGTTTTGTCGTCCATTGGAAATCAGCGAAGAAAAGCTGTACGGGCAAGCCAGTTGTCTTAAGATGTAATAAATAGATGGATAGATTGTTAGTACTCACTGTCCTGTGTTGCGTTGCGCCGGGAGATGAGCATATCTATTTGCTACAGTTTTGTAGCCCCCCAAAGCTTGGTTATAATTTATATAAACATGTACTCACTGTCTTGTGTTGCGTTTCGCTGGGGTCTACCTGGCCAATTCGCTACTGTCTTGTCAATATTTATTTGCTACAGTCGTGCAATTATTTATTTGCTACAGTTTTGTAGCCACCCAAAGCAGCTGAGAGATTGCTACATTAATGTATGTACTCACGAGCTGCGTGGCGCTGGGAGATAATACTCTTTGTTGCTTGACTAAAATAAATGTAACCATGTCGTGTCCCAGGTATCTAATGGTGAAATGAATAAATAGATAAATTGTTCTGTACTCACCGGCTTGTGTTGCGTGGCGCTGGGGTCCGCCTCTATGCTGCTGCTGCGGGTGAAGCTGCCTCCAGCACCGCGGCTGGGCGAGGTCGGCTTGTGGCTCTGGTACCAGGCTCCCGAGCTCAGCGCAAGATGGCGGCGCTTCTGGCACATCTGACACAACCATTCCCCCTCCTACAGCAGCAACAACAAACCGCGGGAAACATCATCGTCAGTATCGCTGTAAACACCTGCGGGTCACCTCCGGATGCTTACCCGAACATCATTTATATATAATACACGGGATGACACCGGCCTATATAAACATGTGCACAGGATCACGCTACGTCACGGGAATCTGTGCGCATGATAACGGGATGGTTCTGACTACAATAGTCTCCTCCAGGCATTTCTACGGGAAAACGGATCGTAGAATTCGGCAGAAAGGAGAGAAAAATTGACAAGGGGAGTCCGGCCGCGGAAGGTTGTTTCTTTCCCTCCGATATGAAGAACTGCGCGGCCAGTCAACCCCCTATCTATTATCATTGCCATTATCATTATTTGTTGTATCCTAGTTCTATTGTTTGTATGTGACTGTTGTGTTTTGCTGTGTAAAACAGGGCCCCATTGAAAAGAAGTGCAATCGCAGGTTAAGGTTAATAGGCCACCCTGTATAAAAATGACAGAAATAGATAAATAAAGGCGGCCAAGTTTACTCCCCTGGCAAACATTCTCCTGTTATATATACCCAGCGTAGTTAGACAGGTAGAGACTAGGTTCTGAGTTTTCTGTGGGAATCAGACGGAATGACTTGTACTGATCATGGCGGGTAGCGAGAACTCTGCTCTGGGAATCAGGATCCGAGCCCAAAATGTTATAATTTATTCTGGGAGGATGGAACCGGCGGGAGAAAATTAACGCGGCCGTCCCGCAGCTGCGGTTCCGGCATTGCCACGGCCTGACTACGGGCGGGAATAATGTACTACACGTTAACATCATCCTATATCTAACACACTGTCATCATCTATATATACGGCGCATCAACATTAGCAACATGCTACATCTGATGTTAGATGAACTAAAGGACAACGTTTTATCTTTTTATGATCCATTCATATTAATTTAAAAAGGACCGGGAAAAAGTAAACATCATTACAGCTCTCGTCAAAACGTACATAGCAAATGCAAAAACAATACATTTCAATACAACACAAAGCACGACAATACTAAGATCTGTGTAGGTAGGAAAACAGACAACAATGTTTTAAGGCATTTCATGTCGTAAGCAAGCAGACAAACAACGAAAGCCGCTGGTCAGCAGCGTGGTGGTTATAGTTCAATTTATATACCTTAATCTGGTATGATAGAGAGCAACATCAACACGGCAAGCAGTGCAATGAGCCCCGGGCCGGAATTGGATCGCAGCATCGCACGTAAATCACATCAGGTCCCCCGGGCGCCGTTAACGCGCTATCAATAGCCGCGCTGCCGACGTGACTTTGGGACTTCATCAACTAGACTGGTCAGAGATGCCGGGCATGTGGCGATACTAATGGGCACAGAGCTCAATCACCTGGTAGTAGTTCGTACATAGGATATAATCTCCAAGCAGATCCTAGGGTGGCAAATGACAGGATCAAATTGGCCAGACAGTATCCATTGGCCAGAAAGGGTCCATACGCCACCCATTGACACTCTCTGGCGAATGGATACTGCCTGACCAATTTGATACTGTATTTTGTCACAATAGGATCTGCTTGGAAACTATCGTCAGGATGCCGAGCGTGTGGCTGTACTAATGGGCATAGAACTCATCACCTACCTAAGTACCTACGGATATATCCGCGGATTGGAACGATATGTATCGGTATAGTCGGTATAACCGCTCTTCGGCGAAACACACCAGCTTCGCAGGCACGCGGCGCGGCGGCAGCTTGCTACATCACACCGAATGACGTGTTACACCTAACCCTTGAATACAGAAATGAATGATATACAGAACTGAATTACCTACCTAAGTATTGAGGATATATCCGCGGGATGAAACATGAAGAAACACATGCGGTTCCGTTTAATCCCTGTGCCACCCATCGACCGACCACATTATTGCCCTCAATAGTCTTAATAACTCAACTCCCTTCTATACCCTCTTGAATAGGACAGAAATATCTATAGCTTCAACCACCCAAGTCCCTGCTCTAGACCCAAATGGCGGCACGGATTGCGTTGGAAGTAAACAAACCCCTCGCGCGGTAGCGGAGTAGCCGGGAGTGATTTGTTGACACGCTTGTAGGGCCCTTAATTTTCGCTACACTGAACCATGTAGCTGATAACAGCGGCAAACACAGCAGCAGGTGGCAGTATTCCCACAGGGCACCGCGCGACGGAGTCATCGGGGACTTTATTAGGCCATGTTGATTTGATTATATGGATGACACCCACGCGCGCATGAATTTTCGACAGTTTAAAAAAAAGTCTTCAACTATACTGTAAATCGTACAAAACAAACAAAATGAGCAAATATATACCGTAAGTTAAAAAAAGCATTGGAAAACGATGCCAATGCCAATGCCAAAATCAAACAAAAAAGACGAAAATGTAAAGAAATGAATTTGAAGACTAGATTATTCGGAGTCACTCGGGACTTTATTAAGGCCTCACCAATTTAATTTGTTGGTTCTCCGGTTTTTTTTTTTTTCAGAAAAAAAAATGAAGCGACAGGGCGAAAAAAAGTAAAATGAAAATAGGTCTAGCCGTCCTATTACAGTCCCAAATGCTACGGTAGAAGTCATGAAGTCAATACAAAAGGCTGGGTTAATATTTAAACATTGAATTTTTAACTCTTAACCGAAACAACTGCATTGACGGATGGAAAAACTGTAACAAATAGGAAGAAAAAGACTATCCTCAACTGTGGGGCGCAAAATATGAGCATTTTTGTGTTGATTCAGAACCAGAATCATTTAGAAAAAAATGAAGAGGTGAATGCGAGAACCAACAAATTACATTAGTGTTGCCTAACGGCGTGTGTTTTCTACCCTCGACGGACACAAATTTAGTCACTCAGACGGCCGCAGATTAAATTTGCGCAGTAGATGAAATACTGTGTCAATTCTAAGTACTTGTGAACATGGGAATTTGTTGATAGAAATATTTACAATAATATATCTTTATTTTCAAAATCATGCCCGAAGGCTAATTGCTTTTACAGTCAAAGATACTATTCGATACAATACCATAATAGGAGACAGACAACTATTGTCTAGAAAAACCTATACTTCTACTACTACGCCTAGCTATTATAAGGTTTGACTTCTTCTTTGAAGGCAGTGGATAATGAATTCTGCATAATGAGTGGGTTTTGTGATAATAATCTACTGCAATGTTAAACAGAAATCCACGTGAACCATATTCCCAGAAAGGCACTGATTGAGTCAGGGATTTGGCGGTCCTCGCCTTTGTCCTATTTTTAAACCACAGAAGGGCACTTTAAGTATTACATAGAAATCAATATGATAGACACATACAGGGGGATCATAATTGTCCAAAGATAACGTTTTCGACTGAAATAGATGTTGATATTATATATAGTCTTCAAGTTGAATTTATTGCATATGGTTTAACTTCAAACAAGAACAGTGCTCGGTCAAGCGCTCAGTGGATCATGGTCAGATTTGACGATATTTCACTGTTTATCTACACTATTTGTGTATCACTTAAACCCACATGATAAATACCTAGGATATTCACATCACAAGCCTCATGCTGATAAAAGCCAAACATCCAAAGCCCAGGCGCTGAAAGCGTTACTATAGCGCCACCAGGCGTCAAAGGTCGACCTTGCTGTGATCCAAGATGAGAAAGAAGTCAATGTTTTAGCCATGTACATCTTGAGTGATGACAGGATCCAGCTCAAAAAGCGTAAGTTACCATCGAATGTAAAGCGGTCCTAGCTCACGAAACCCGGAATGATCACCAGGCTCAACTCAACTGTAACGTTTCAAATCTTTGTAAAAGTACGTCGATGAAGGTTAGACATCCAGGTAATAAGATACGCCAAAAAGCAGTTACTCAAGCAACTGGATATGATTTTGAAAACGGTCAGACTGCCTTTTGTCAGTGTCCTTTGCGAAAGTGTTTCCAGTTCATTCCATTTTGACCTTTCCCGACGCCTAGTTCGATAGATTCAGTATGATTCAGGATATGAGACAGTATGAATGGACAAATTATACAAACCGTGCCAATTGTTTAAGCCTCGCCGGTTTCATTGGCCATTTTATAAATTATATAATCCACCAACTGCACATCGGAGGCCAATTACTGAGCAATACCAGCCTTTTATTGTCTAACGGTTAGCCGTGTCCATTTTCGCCCTGCTGCACCATTAAAAATATATGTATCCAGAAAGATCATGTATGTCACCGATTGGCTACAATTGGGCAAAGTTATATAATGGACGGCGGTAGGGCCAGAGGAAGTGTATTCCTGTAAAATTGTCTTCACTTATTTCATATCAATCAATAGCTAGTGCTTATAAACCTGCATTTCTCCTCTGGTCTCTCAGTTACTGACGAAAGTTAGTGGATACTAGCTGAAACGTCTGACCGTTTCCAAAATCATATCCAGTTGCTTGAGTAACTGCTTTTTGGTGTATTCCTGTAAATGTGTACCTTAAAAGTTGCATGGCGACAATCAATTGTCCGTCTAGCCACTGTCACAAATAACACTTATAAATGCCCGCAAACCAGCATTAAGGGCGACAGCTCGGCCATAATTAATCGGCCGGTTTTACTGTTCTGCCGATATTCCTGCCCAGCGGAAATGCCACCGGACCGTCCCTCAGCCTCAAAACGGCGGGATTTAGGTTTACTTCCTTTTATGGTGTCGTGGCGTAGCGGTAGCGTGTTCGGCTCAGGACCAAGATGTCGCGGGTTCGAATCCTGCCCGATGTCACTGATCTTGTGCCCTTGGGAAAGGCACTTTACACGACTTTCCTCACTTCGCTCAGGTGTAAATGAGTACCTGGCTTCAGTTAGGGACGTCCCTCGGATAGGACGTTAAATGGAGGTCCCGTGTTTGGGGAGAGCCACGCCCCACGCACGTTAAAGAAATACCCTCAGCCACAAAACGGCGGGATTTAGGTTCACTTCCTTTTATGGTGTCAGGAAACCACCTGGTCCAGACGGCCTCGGACT